AAAAGCACGTGAGAAAAACTTGTGGGTTGAGATAAAATCAGTTTAATAATTGAAATAAAATGATAATAATAATATTATAATAATACACAAAGCAAGTGATGCACAGTACAATTGCTCACCACCCACTGACCGATGCCCAGCCAGTCCCCGAGCAGCGGCCCCCCCCGGCCAGCTTTCCCCCAGTTTATGTACTGAGCATGACGTCCCATGGTATGGAATGTCCCTTTGCCCAGTTTGGCTGTGCCCCCTCCCAGCTTCTTGTGCACCTGCAGCCTTCTCAGTTGGTAGAGCATGGGAAGCTGAAAAGTCCTTGGCCAGTGTAAGCATTACCTAGCAACAACTAAAACATTGGTGCCTTATCAATTTTGTTTCCATCCTAAATCCAAAACACAGCACTGTACCAGCTACTAGGAAGGAAATTAACTCTATCCCTGCCGAAACCAGGACAAGAGGGAATTTGCATCTCGACAAGAGGGAATTTGCATCTCCGCACTTGGGAAGGGCCCCCCTGACCAGAGCCCAGACCCCAGCACACAGGAGAAGGGTCGTGGGGACGGCTCACAGGGGCTTCGGGGCACCCGCACCCTGTGAGCGCAGGTAGGAGTGTGGGGCAGAGGACCACGGGCGCAGGAGAGCCCTGCTATGCATGCCACAAAGGCCGATGCAGTCTCCCTGCCCTCTTGCCCAGGAGAGAGCAGGACTGCTCCGCTGCTTCCCATGCACCTTCTCGCTTCCTATGTCTTCCCATCCATGCCTGAACCGGAGTCAGAGGTTTTAAACTCCGGCAAAAGTGTTCTCCCACACCAGCTGAGCTGTGTTCACACGCCGTATTCCGTGGCCTTGCAGGGAAGTACTTTGGAAGAGGCAGGGGATTTTCTTTTAAAACAGTTGCAATTTAGAGAGTGAAGTTGAGAGGTTTGAACAAATCACTTATTTAGAAAAAAAAAAAAGACAGCAGCCACAGTAGCTTCGAATTCCTGTCAAGTTCAGTTTCAAGCACCTCTAAAAGGACTAACAATTTGGAAAAATAAAAGCAATTAGAGAATTTTTTTTTCCTTTTAAAACTTTCTTAGAACCCTATTATGTTCACATTCAAATTTTTAAATCTCACGGCTATTTAAAAACTACAAAACCTTATGGTTACCGGAAAATTACTTTTTCCAGCTCTGTGAAACAGAGTTGGTATGAAAAAGTGTATCAGGCTCAAAACTTTTTTCCGAAGTCATTTGCTTTGGTGAACTATGAGATCATTGATTCACACAGTTCAGGGACTGTTTGTATGGAACTGGAGAGTTTCCAGCTCTGACACTATACGTTTTCATATCCAACAGCTACAGATCCAAGGTCCTCTCCTGTAGATCTACCGAAGGCAGCGGAGTTACACCAGGCATAAGTTCTCAGTGATCATTTGGATTGCAGCATAGCATAACCACATAGGTTAAGGCCCTGTGACTTGTCTCTATACTAGTAAGAAAAGTGATTCAAGCCTGTTCACCCCCAAAAGTAAAGAAGAGTTATGTGTGACGTTGGTGTTAGGCTAGTAACTAGGTCATAACTTATTAATTGTACACAAAAGCGCTTGCAGACTTCCATTGTCCATGTTGTTAGCACTCATAAAATATAAGAAACATCAACAGCTGTGGTTATCATCGGTATCTCACTGCCTCTGCTCCAACATTCAGTGTTGGCTGGAAGGGATCTCTGGAGGTCACAAATCCACCCTCCCACTCAGAGGAGCACCATTGCCAGCACTAGCCAAGGTGCCCACCTAGGTGCTAGCTGGAGTAGCACCAAGGTGTTGAAAACATTCAAGGATGGAGACTCCACAACACCTCTGGCAGCCTGTCCCAGGGCTGCACCACCCTCTCGGTGAAGAATTTTTTCCTAATGTCCAGCCCTGAACCTCCCAACCTGTAATTTATGGCTGTTGTCCCTTGTTATATCCAAAGAGAGTCTGGCTCCATCATCTTCATAACTTACCTTCAGGTACTTGCTGGCTCCCATTAAATCACCCCATCGTCTCTTCACATGACTAAACAAGACCACCGCCCTCAACCTCTCCTCTTAGCTTCTGTGCTGTAGGGTCTCTCATCATCTCGGTAGCCTTCCACTGGACCATGTTCTCAACATCCTTCTTGAACTGGGAGGCTGGAAACTGGAGACAGTATTGCTGGTGGTGCTTCACCAGTGGGGCATAATTATTTTCCTCAACCTACTGGACGTAATTCTGATGTTGCACAGCACGTGGCTTGCTTTATTTTCAAGGAGAGCTCACATTCAGCTTGATGTTCATGTAGCCCCCAGGTCCTTTCCAGCATGGTGGTTTTTCAGCCAGCCAGTTCCCAGCCTGTACCAGTGCATGGGGATTTTCTGCTCCACACACAAAACTTGCTCTTTCTCCTTGCTGAACTTCCCGAGGTTTCTGTTGGCTTACTCCAAGTTTATCAAGGCCTCTCTGAATTGAAGTTGTACAAGCTAGGATGTCAACCTTGCTTTCTAGTTTAGTATTGTCTGTAAAATAGTGTGCTAGCCAATAGTAGCAAAAAAATCTCTTAGTGCAATAAATATAGGACCTGTCTTGACAAATAACACTGATTACTGTCACAAAATGGGAATCTGGGAAAATTGTTTTACCACAGTAGAAAACTGCAAACAAATGTAGAAATACAATGCTCTACAGTAGCAGTACAGTTTCTCTCTCCTTTTTAATGTCTCATTTCTCTTCTGGAGAAGAAATACCAGCCTGGCAGTAACCCACACCAGCTCCAGTTTGCCTCATTTCTGCCGTAAGACACAGCGTGTCCGTGGCACGATCACCATCAGCTACTCTGTGCTGGTAGGGTCTTGTCAAGCAGTTTTGTTCACTCTGGCTTGGGAAAAACTCCACAGATGCCACTGGGAAGTACAACGTGATGAAGGTTGAGTAGCATTACCAGATGCCTGCACACCTTCCAGAGGAAACACACCTGGTTTTGTCTGCTTTGGAGGTAAACTAGCCCAGGAGATAGCTCTGTGGACGAGGACCACACAGATTTCTTGGTACTGTATACACAAATTGGGGAACTGTGGTTTAACTGCTCTGTGGAAACCACAGTAAGCTCCACTGTTGCTGATAGTCAGGAATTTAAAATAAAATGCTGGCCGTTAGTAATGCAGCTTGTTGCAAAATAAAAAATATTTTACTTATTTGAAGGTTAAATGTTTGCCATTTCTAACTGCAGTAAATGTTTTTGCCTAGCACTTCCCAGCTGGCTTCCTCTTCTACTCTGACTCACTCTGTTTTGTCACACTTGAGAAGTACTTAAGCCTAGAGAAGTCTTTGAAGTTATTTGTCAACTGTCTTGCAAACACAGTTTAAAAGGTACTTGCAAGATGTGATTGTATTTTCAGCCACAGCTATCAAGCCAGACATTCTGTCAACCAGGGAAACCCTGTGGAGTTTTTTATCCTAAGAAAACACGATCATCTTCAAAGAGTAGCAGGCTGCTATCTGGTACCAAAATGACACTAAGAATGACTTTGAAATCTCTTCTTCACAAATAGATGCCATGGTTTCAATGCAAGTTTTTGCCAAGTAAGAACCTAAATCCTGTATGAAAAAGAGTGACAGAAGTTCTGTTCTGTATAAATTGCACACTGTATTTTAGCGTAAAGTTTAAATGCCTGTAATTTTATTACCTAGTGTTTCATATTCAGGATTATGATCTTTCTGCTTGGAAGTTTAAAATTCTGAAATATGACCAGAGATAACAGATTCAGTTGAAAGTTGATGCCTGCCTTGTTGGATGAACAGCATGTTTCTGCCCGGCTAGAGTTCCACTTGTGACTGTGAGCAGGGCTGGATTAAAACTGTGTAAAGTTGACATCTCCAGGTCAAGGCACAGGCATGAACAGATGTGCCGTGCACACCGTGAGTGGAGGATCCTGTCCCAGAACACTCTTTGGCCGCCCATTGCAGCACACACCTTTGTTGTTCACCAGTGTAGACCAGAGCCAAAATCAGAGCAGAAAACTTTCCTACCAAAACCACATGATCCCCAGGCACTTTAACACGTGTGCGTGTACCAGCAAGTCTGAATTTGGCTCTGTGGATATTTGTTAGCAGTTATCATGGATTTCCATCTTCCTTGGTTTTTGGAGCACGGGACTGCATCTTACACAGCAACAGTGGCAGGGGCAATGATGTGCAAGCGGCTCTGATGCTCTCATTTTACCCCGTGAGCATCCCCCAGGCCAGAGGGCAAGGGTTTGTGGTAGAGCTTTTCTTCAAACATCTTTGCACCTCAAGCATCGAGGTGATGTTTCAGGCCAGGAGATAAGACTAGCTCTCGTTTGAAGTAAATCTCCTAAACCACATATAGTCTAGTTATGGGGCTCTCAACACCAATTGCTTTAATAACTTGACCCCCTCCTGTCATGCTTCATTGCTTGATAATGTAGACATAGCCTTTGAAAGATGGCAGTGTTTGAACACTGTTATTAATACATGGAAGCAACAATAACATTTGCCTTTCAAAACAGCAGTGTTTAGTTTGGAAACGAAATAATATTAAAAAAATAAAAGGGTAGCTGAATAGTTAGACAGTGAAAAATCACTATGGTAAAATGTGAGCACAGTTAACTTAAATAACCCAAAACCCCATTTAATAAAATATTATAAATATATTGTAAACATAGTAATAGTAATAGCATTACTATCATATTATGCAATGTTATTATATTTAAACAAATTGCTTAGTTTTATTCAAATGAAAGATGAGACACGTAAAAGGTCATGAATATGAATATATCGGACTAGCTAAGAATTACTCAAACCTTGTAAATGAAATAAAATATTCAGTAGAAAAGATCTAAAAGACATTTCTCCGTTGTACAAGGTTGCACAAAAAGGAAGAGGGAGCAAAGGCACAAATGAGATTCACAAATCTGCCTTTATTGCAGCAAAACTGAGCTAGTGCAGGAATCCAGGATAGACCCAGAAAGTCTTCTCATTTGGAAAATTTTAAAACAAGATCATGGAAAAAAAAAATTACTAAGAATGAGAAAGCAGGGGGATGGAGTAGAATAAAAACAAAGTAAGGAGCAGAAGTGAGATGCAACAAGCTTAATCAAAGCCTCTATCTGAAAACCCAGTGTTTTTCAAACATTATTGTGTGGTTCATGATCAAATTTCCATCTAAAAAGTGAGAATAATGTTTTCAAAAGCAGCTACTCCTCTAGTGCCTCAGGTGCAATTTTCAGTGCCAATATTTTTTTCATTTAGAAGTCAAATGGAAATGCTGAAAAGAGTTGGCTTAGAGCCAACTAAGGTTCCCCTCCCCCCCCTTCTCACTGATACAAAAATAAAACCAAACTGTTAGTGTCAGAGAAGAGTTCCAGACACTCAAAAAACAAACATACCGTTTCATTCACAGATAGTTTTAAAAAAGCAAAGGAAAACAAAGTCCAGCTTCACAAAGTGGTCACTGAGACTCTTCCTTTTTAACAATATTCTGTGTGGTTTAGATACTTCCTTAGAATCCGAGAGCACCAGAAACAAATCCCATCTCCACCTCTTAGGATCACACCTTAGGAAAGATGTGAATTATCAGTCTGAGTTAGCACTGGGAATAAGGAGCTCTTTGATTTTAAATTATCCATCAGTCCTAGTTCATTTTTTTCACTGTACAATAGAATTCCCTCCTTTAAAAAGACAGTAACACTTGTTTATCCCACAAATGTGCTGGAGGGATGTCTGGGAAGAATTCTGGCAATGAAAACTGTAGGGTAAGTGCTAAGTATTATTAATTTGGAAAAGAACGTGCTACAATTATTCTAGAAGTATGGCAAAGACTGATCATTGAGTTAGATTGTTAAACATGAATACAGGAAATATGCCTACCAACCTGGTCCACCACCTCCTCACTTGACTGTGGGTTGTCATCTCCCTCCCCTGTCACTCCTACTTATAGTTCTCCCCAGGTTGGCCAGGCAAAAGATCACTACTGTGTGTTTCTTGTGCTATCACAGCACTTAGGAAACAATCATGGATCCAATCTAGACAAGGTACAAACACAGCATTTGCCCCACTTGTTGAGGTGAATCTCATCTCTTCCTAGCAGTTCTTAGTCCTCAAAGAGGGGACATCCCACAGTCATAAAAGTCAACTCCCCATTTTCAGCACCAGCTGTGCAAACAATAGTTGACCTACAGGATCCATCCATTCCTCAAGCCTTACCCCCTCACCAGTAGGACTGAGGAGAAACCACCTGGGCACCTATGTCTTTGACTCACCCTACAGCAATGTAGTCGTGCTTGATACGCTCCACGTCTCCCCTGGTGGTATTGTTGGTGACCACGTGGAAGAGCAGCAGGGATTAAAATTCTGAGGCCCAGACAAGACTCGGCATGCTCGCCACATCTTCCCAGATCTCAGCCCCTCAACAAACCTCCCCAGACAGCACATTGGGGCAGCAAATAGGAGCTTCCATCTCCCTCAGCAGGGAGTCTCCAACTACTATCACTCTTCACTTCCTTCTGCACGGTTCAGGCTCAGCCAGCTCAGATGCTTTGCTGGACAGAGCTTCCAGCCTCTCGTCCGCTACCAGAGCACTGAAGCTGGTCTGTACCTGCAAATGTCACTCCTGTCTCTGGTACCTCCTCCAATCACCCATGACCTTTCAAAGCTATCTTTTGTTCTGCTTTTATACAGTACCTAGAAGGATCCACGTTTGTTTCCTAAGTGGTGCTGGTGTGAATAGTTGTAAGATAAAATGCTAGACTAATCAAGCGTGCGTCAAACATACAAGGCCAAAGATAACGAGTACATCGCATCAAAGCCACAGCTAAAGAGCACATCATGAGAGACAGGTAAGTACCAGCAGAAAGCAGAGGAGGACAACCAAAACTGTGGCAAATGGCAGTGATGAGCCAATTTGTGACCATATAAGGAGAAGGGCCCAAAGGTTCAAGAAAAGTTCACCTCCTGCAAAGACCACAAGAGACCACGAGAGACCTCCAGAGACCACCTAAGACACCTGAAGATGCTCCTAAGGACTCAAAATGCATGTGTGAAAGACTATGCAAATAGTATAATTAGTTCCTAGAAATATAATGAATATGCATGATTTTCCCAAGAAATTATTATGAATATGTATATCGCAGAACCATTTAAGGGACAGTTGATGCAACATACAGTGTGCATGCTAGGAGGAGAGATCCCCCATGCACCCGGCTGAATAAAGTAATGCCTGCTCTTTAATACACCCAGTGTTAAGGAGTTTTATTCCCAATTTTCGGTGACAATGTGATAATACAAAACAAACTAATGATTATTTGGTATTACTTTGCTGTAACAATGGTTAAGAGCGGGAGTTAAGTGACAGGTTATTTCGGTTTCCATGCTACCTCTGTGGTTCTTTGACACTATGATAACTCTTACATATATAGAGACACAGAGAGAGGCTTATTTATGTTAAACTTTTATTAAATCAGGCTAGGCATCAAATCACAAACTCTTGACTTCTGGACTGCTCAGTTTAATGAATGGACTCAGCCTAGGGTATTTTAAGGCATCTCTTCAATTATATCATAATCTTCTGCTGGAACTTTGAATCACTTTGCAACAGAGCAGCCTATGAAAATGTCAAGTTTCACAGCAGCACGTTTTTGTCAGCAAGAACATTTTGTAATCTCTGGATTGTGACATCTTCATCACTGGCTGAAAGATGGATCAGATTTGGCTACTACAACATCAGATTAAAAAGCAGCACGAGCATATTAATAAAACAGCAACAAACAAAGAGGAAATAGCTCCCTATCCAAGCAGAACTTTCTTCAAAATCTTAGAAATACAGATCTACATTTCCAAAGGCAGCTAGTCATTCTGATGTTTGATTTGACACATCAGAACGGGCTCAGGTCTTCACAGCACTAAAGTTCAGCAATCTGTAAAAAACCAAGATCTGTTCTAAGGATGGATGAGACACCACGTAGTGAGCCCCCCAAACCACTAGTCACTTTTAGGGAAAGGCAGTAGAAGGGAGAAGCAAAAATAAATGCATTAACTTCAGTAAATTCAGCAACATGGGTATATATTTTTTTTTTCTTTTTCTCTCTTCTACCTATTTCTCCTACATCTTTTCCCTTCATTTCATACAGTTTCTATCTCTGCGTTGCTGAACTGTGTTCTCTCTCCAGTTCCCTTCAGGAATTCCCAACCTTCTGTTCTGTGTCTCCTCTTTCATTCCTCTTGTCTGTGCTTCTTCCTTTTCCTTTTGCTGGTACCTTTCCTTCTGGCACTAAACACAGTAGGCTCATCTTCTCTCTGGAAATCCCTCTTCTTTTTTGTCCATTTCCATAGCCTGTACCTACTCCATCTCCCAGTTATTGTATTACCACCTCATTCTTCCCCAGATCCTTAAACAGAAGAGGGTGTGTGAATGGAAATGGTTTGGTGAGTATAGGAGCTGAAGCCAGATTGCTTCCAGTTTTTCTCCTGTCTTCTATCTTTTCCGCCACCCCTTCTCTCATGGTACCTGCCTATTCCGCTGCAAAACAGGCAGTATAGCTAGTGAGGAAAGCACCACTTGTCTCTAGCAGCAGTCCCTGGGAATGAAGGTACATCTAAATTCCCAAAGGAAAACTAACAGATCCCATAAATTTCAGCACCTGAATCAATTTGAATAAACTGCTTTGTTTTAAAGCTGTTCTTTCTTCAAGGATCTTAACAGGAAATGGAGGAGATCAGGATCTTTAAAAACTCTGTGTGCCTTCACTAGAAGCCTCAGGTACATGAGTTCAGCCAACGTCTCCAAACTCTGAGGCATTCTTTGGTTGTATTTTCTATGGTGTAGCTAAAATTTTCTTGGTTTAAGTACATTACCAGAAGTGACTGCAGTTAATACCTGGCATAGATTAGGCCTGCTCTATAACCAAAATATTCTTACAAGTAGTAACTCTAGAGTAAAGGCAGCGTGGCAGAAGGTTGTACTGGTTAAACGCTTCTTATACTAGCAATAACTTAATTCATGCTGCTGTTGCAACTAAGATGCCACTATCTCCAGAGCTCACAAGATCAAGATAGGAAGAAAGAGGTGCTAGTCATGCAGCTAGCTGTATTTTTAAACCACTAGCCCCCAAGAACATGGGAAGAAGCTTCATTCGATGGCAAAATATGCTGAGTTCATATATTCTGCAAGGTCATGGCACTAATGATATTCCTCTTAGAAAGCTAATGAACTTTGTTTCCTTAGGGTTGGAAGCTTTCACCTTTCACTACAAATACATTTCACTGAAAGAGAGACGGTGGGCACATTGAGAAGACTGTGCTAAAATCCACCAGCTCATAAGGAACAGGTCTGCTCCACAAAAGGCACACTCCACAGACTGTAAAGAAAGAAAATACGTGTCCCAGAGCACCAGCTGACCATTGCAGGCAAATGCTAAAATGCCTGAAATGATACCTAGATCACACTCTGGAGGAGGGCTTTTCCAAACATTTGAATTTGTTAAGTTTGGATGTTAAGAAAGGCAGCTAAGGTTCATTATGTACACAAAACCAACACTCACCACCTATCAGTAGGAAACAAGTGATTAGTCCACACATTTACAGAAGGTTTCAGAAAATGAAATAAGGTGACTCAACACAGCAGTCCTAAACAGATTTCTTCTGCAAAGATTTCAAGTCTGTTGGCTACTAACTAAAGGAATAGGTGGGTTAGCTCTGCAGAAAGATGCCCAGAGGTGATAACTGTAAGACCATATAGGTAATCGGCAGTCCTGTGAGATGTCTATGAATTTTAAAATAATATTACCCTGCAATTTTAAAATGAGGTGTTATAGTGAAAGTTTCTTATTATTGACTCTTACTTTTCATTCCTGCGTGCCTTGAGTAGAATTGAGGCTGCAAAAGTAAACCGTTTCTGTTCTGTGACACTGGCTTCAGGCTTCCAATGGAGAAATTCTTTTTCACACTCCAAATTCCTTCCACAGCCACTGTTAATAATTTGTGAAAATAATACCATTATAACTGATTACTTCAACTTGTTCTAGATTTAATGTAACTTTTAAAAGACAGTCTCTTTGGTCTAGACAGTAATTAGAAGTAGTTAAGCAGAACACTATAATCTTCCTCCATAGTTAATGAAAACAGATTGACATCTTCAGAGAGCAATTCAGATTGCTAAAGGTATATGATGCTCCCTGCTGTCTGTAGAACAGCTTAGGACTACCAGGCTCCTAACTGAAGCAGGACGCAGCTGATCTATAATGTGTAAGAAACAGCAGTAATGCCATTGATGCATCCAGCATGATTTATTGGTCATACTGTAATACCAAATGCTCTCATAAAAAGACAGCAGAACAACAACACCCCCCCCCAAAAAAAAAACCCAAACAAAAAACCAAAACAAAACCAACACCACCAAAACAAAACAAAAAAGCTAATTTATTTTGTGGAAAGGTTACAATTTACTAACCATCTAATTTATGTAAAACAATAAACTTACTAATAATCTAAACTGTGTAAATCAGTAACCACCCAACCTGACAACTGTTGTTTATCAGAGCTCAGGCCACTTAGGGAGCATCTCTAATTCTCCAAATGTATACAGATGAAAAAGAAACTAGGTATTTGCTGAATATCTGTACACCAGCATCTATTTGACCTTATTATACATGGCATTGCTATGCTATACATATAACATTATGCTACACATACCATTTATATACTGGGCTTGTTATACACCCATATTATACATTCCTGCAATGAGTATTTTTGTGGTGTTTCTGTATTATCTTTAGTACTTTAAGCCTTTGTAACATACATTTCATTGGGGGACTCCCCAGAAATCATGAGAACATATATGGTAGCATCCATTTATATGATCAGACTGAAATATTCCAGACAATTTTGATCCATTGGCAGATGGATGCAGTGAAATATAGTTGTGTTCAGCTCTTAGCAACATCAGACACATAAGCAGATTGAGCGGACCAATGTTAACATCTGCAATTCAGCTACTTGTCCAGAACCCCTTTACAGTCAATGGGAAAAGAACAGGGACTTTTAGAGCACGACGCATGCAACGGTAGGTATCTAGGACAAGTCAGAAGAACTGCTTTTTCAAAGTGCCTTTTTCTCTCCGTTTACTGTAAACAGAGCCTACACAAGTCATTCATTTGCAGCTGTGTGCCGTAATTGCCTAAGGAGCCTAATCACAGTAATGGAGTTGCAGGTTCAAATGGTCTTTACATCTGACAGGATACTGATTACATCACGTAACTTATGTACATTTTTGTCTGTGAATCCAACTGTTTTAAATTCATTTTGAGTGAGTTTAGACTTGGGTCTCAATCCTACATAAGAGAAACCAGACTTTTTTCAAAATTTGCCAAATTTGGAAACAAAGGCAAAAATGCCCTTATTACATTTGTGGAGGATGTAACAGGAGATATAGTGATGGGCTTATTCCAACAAAATGCAGCTTTAATATAACCAAGAAATAGCTTTACTCTACGGAAGAGAATGTGGGGCTACAGAATGGGAACTGTGTATTGTGGAGCAAAAGCATCATGGATTTAGGAGTAACAGTCGACAAACAGTTCAAGGTCCTAGTGCTAATGTTAGCTCTAAAATAAGTAGATGATTCTCTCTCTCTACAGGCTACTCGTGATACAAATACTGAAATACCATGATCAGATTTGGTATTCACATTTTAAAAGAAGAGGCAAAACAATTGGTGAGAGTACATAAAGAGCCAAAACCAAATATGTGTATATACCTTCTCTGGAAGAAAATCCTGGATACTACAAAAGGCACTATTACATATCCAAGAAAAGCAAGGAGCTGAATCATGCAAATCCAAATTATTTATCAGGATTTTTTTTTTTTTTAATACACCAACCACTAGAACAAACTAGTGAGGGAAGCTGTGGAATAACCAGCTTTAGTCAGTGGACTCTACAGAGAGGTACCTAATAAAACACAATGGCTTGGCTGATAAAGGCAATAAGACTTTGTAGTCAACCAGATAAGATGACCTATCCTTAAACATTATAAACTTCTGAAAATTAATTTTCTACAATTAGATTAATAGATCTTATGGCTGCAGGAGACCACCAGCATCATGTAAGTTTTGTCTTATGTGGGTCATATGACGTCAGGCTTATTCCTGCACCAAGACTAGCAAATAGCTTGGACCAGGGCTAACCATTTAAGTGCAAAGTATTTAAAGTGTGTATTAAAAATGGTAAATCTAAGTGATCTTTGTTAAATTGTTCCAGTATTAATCATAGAATCATTAAGGTTGGAAAAGACCTCTAAGATCATCGAGTCCAACCGTCAACCCAACACCACCATGCCCCCTAAACCATGTCCCTAAGCACCACATCTACACGTCTTAAATACCTCCAGGGATGGTGACTCCAGCACTTCCCTGGGCAGGCTGTTCGAATGCTT